TCCAAGATTTAACAAGCACGTTTAGATATTCTGCGGTTTGTCGTCTCTATTTTTGACTATAATACGTGTCTATATGCTCTCTATGAGAACTCTTCTAACTGCCATGTGAAACATTCAAGATTCCAAAAGTTAAAATTACCACTGTGCGCACGTGTTTATCGCTTCTCAATATACGTATCAATCGAGCTTCGACTTATCAAGACTGCGAACCGTCACTGCCTCGTTCGCGCGTATACGACAATATTAATGATTATATATGAGGGCATTCCCCCCTTTTGATCGATGCTTTTTCGTGATTATTCGAAAGGAAAGCCTAAAAATACCCTACGCCTACTCCAACGATATGAACAATAAATCTCCAAATATATATTTCAGTGTGTAATACAAGTGTGAACAATAAGTACTAAGATCGATTTTTTTCCGTCAAACGAAGGACTATTTTAATGAAAAAAAAAATAAGCATTCATGAGTTCATATCTTTATGAAATAATTTAATTATATAATACGGGATACGCAAAGCGGATATTCGTAACGAATTCTTCATTTAAACTCTATTCACATACGAGTGAACATTCAAGGCAATGTCGCTTTTTCTCTTTCTTTTTCTCTTTCTCTCTCGATATATAAGTGTGCCTTCACCAGTGTACGCGGATTTTCCTTTATACATTCATAGCATCGATGGTGTGCACGACTCATGTGCGAGTTTTTTTCACTTATACCCTTGCGCGAATAGTACGCGAAGTAATATAAAAACTCTGAGCAAATTTACATTTTTCATAAGGGCTTACATATATACAAGCACATATAATACTCACACTTTCTTTCTTTCTCTTCTTTGCGTTTCAGATTTACTCTCGAATAAAAATAATATTCGATGCTTCTTACGAGCACCAGTGTAAGGTGGAATAAAAAACAGAAAATCGTATAATCTATCAAAAATGCGTTTATACGCGTGTGCTCAATCGGATGATAGATTCAATTTTTTCATCAGTTTCTAAGAAAATTGTCGAGCATACAAGAGAGCCATGTGCGCAGTTCAACTAATATATATGAGTGAATGAAGCGCAAATGAATTTTGAAATTAATATTCATTTATATATCGTAACTTTACTTTACGTGAAATTAAATTTTGCAGAAACTAGTACAGCGTAACGAAAGGGGGTTCCATAAATCGATCAATTAGGTAAAACATTGATGCCGACTAGATTCTTATCTAATGAGATCGCCTATCTTTTCAACAAGGCTACTAGAAACTAACGTTTTTTCTCTTGCAAAGTCTTTCTTTTCGCAAGTAATTCTAGTGTTTTGCAAGTACAAGCAAAAAATGATTGAGTAAATTCATATTGTGTATCGTGTATTTTCATTCTCTATGCAGGCCCGACTCTGTGATTATATGTAATTCATGTTTAAAGCGTTTCAAATCTCACCTCACAAAATAGTCCTCGAAAGTCACTTTGAGCGATATTTAGTTTTACATTGCGAACACTTATATTGGTCAGAATTCAAGATACATTGTGCGACAAAAATAACCAAAATTTATGTGCACCGACGACACGTGTACTAGAGCGTGCTTCTTTATAATGTCATACACGATGAATATCTGCTGCAAAGGCAAAATTTTTTGAAAAATCAATAGCCACCTCTTGAGGTTAATGCAGCAGTTGCACACTCGCGCACTCAAAGACAAAAGTTTCGTAAATCGAACATGACGCAGTAACTACACATATTCGTAAACTATGAAAGTTAATTCTCGTGTACAAATACAATAAAGCTTGTACAAAAAACAATCGATCGATTTATATGATATTATATACAAGCTGTGTTGAATTCGATACGAATTTTCAGAGGATAAGAACGTAAGTAGAGAAAAGTGAAGTATACTAAAAATATAGGTACGACGACCCTAACGTAATTATACGCAGCCGAAAGCTCGGGCAGAAAACCCTTTCAAAGTTTTTTTTTCTCAGTCGAAAGTGCACTCGCCGTGCACAGCAGTGTGACACGAGCGACCCTAAAGAAAAATCATCACGTGCGCCTAGGCACAAAACCACGGACGGAGACACACACAAGAAAACAACGGCAAACAAGAAAGAAAAGGCTTATCGCGAGTTAGACGCGTCTCAACGCAAGACGAATAAGTTCCATTGCACGCACGCGTATACGTGATAATTCAAACGAATCCCTTTGTGAAGTATATATACCACTCTCGGTGGGCTTTGTTTATTGTCATGCTAATTAAATCCTTCGAATTTATCGTATTAATTTGTCTTTATTCCATGTTTGATACTGGACTTTGGGCGAGTATCAAAGGCCAAAAGGCGGCGCGCGTACGATTTTTAAAAGTAAATATCGTTGTGGTTTGAGATCGAGCTGATTGTGCAACACGAGTAGGAGGAGACGCGCTCGATGATTGTGCGTACAATATCGCTCGCAAAATTTATCATTTTGAATGCACGTGACGATTAGATCATTTATTTATGTGTGTATATATAAGCTTGTTTCGAATCAACTCGATGCACTTCGAGAAAGAGAGGGAGAGAAAAAGAGAGGCAAATTTATTTGAATGCGATGCTTTGAACGTGTATAGTGCGTTTGTGTGTTTGTGAGTGGAAGGTCTGCCGGGCTTATAAAGTTAAACTGTGCACGCCGCGATAAGTGCCGAATCAGTGAGAAAATTCACTCGAGCAAATGAACTTCGATATTTTATTGATTCTTCGTGCAGACGAGGGAGGAGACAACTGGCAAGAATTAATAGAAATTCGTAAATCATGATCTCCGCGTATGCGATTTCATACTGTACAATACTTGTCAAGTTTTAATATGTATATGAATGAATATCTCTATCGTCGTAACTTTTTTATTGAAACAATTCTGAATAAATGGTGATTGTGAGCTTTTGTTTTTCTGGTGAGATTTCTTCAGATTCCAAATTTTAATTGGCTTGGATACTAGATTATGATTACATTGATGGTTTCTTATTCAGTGATACAAAGTTATTATTTTATCAAGATATGATAAGAAAATTACTCAAGTATGTAAAACTATTTGAATGCATAAATACAAATTCCATCAATTTATAATTGAATTAGGTAGCAATATGCTAATGAAAATTTAACTTAATAAAGAAAATTAAGGTATACCATTTATACTTATCAGTGTTTTCAATCAATATAAACATAACATTTTGCAAAATATGTAAATTTTTTTTAATGATTTTAGTAATAAATACATGCAAAAGTAAGTTAAATAGAATGCGAACAAATTATTTATACTAGTTGAATATTAATTAACATATGTCAAAAATGAATTATAGGTAATTTTTTAATAACTTTCCCTGGCCATTTATAACAGGTCATACAAGAAATTAAAAAATTTCTTCTATTTTTCAATGTTTACTTTAAAAGTATTGGCCTTCATAATATACATGCATTCACACTGCTTCTAGATTTAGTTGACTTATCCATCACGTGCAATATATTAACCCATACATCATTGTATCTTTTTCTATTGCATTCATTCAAGTAAAAAAGTGCATTAAATACTTTTATATAAGTTTAACAAGCAATATCAGCAAGTGAAGATCAATCCTTAGTTTCATTGCGTAAAACAAGCATTCTCTCATGTATGACATAACTGTGTATATGAATGTTGATTGTTTGAGTCAGAAGTCATCAATTGTACTATTTCAGACTCTACATAATTGTCAACTACAGAGCTTGAGAAATGCAAAGCATCAATTCCAATGACCAATCTTCTTCCATAATAATAAAGATGAGTTTTCAAGAGGCTGGAATAGTCACATTCTAATAATAAAAGACGCTACTCCCCCCAGCAGTATGAATATGGCTAGGCACACATCATCATCATAGGTAAGGCACACAAGCAGGCCATTGGCATCGCACAGAAAAGCCACCATATTAAAGATTCACTGCAGCAACGATGCATAAGCAGAAGCAAAAGAAGAAGCAGCAGCAGCATCGTGTCATTATCAGTGCAATCACCCTTTTGCATACCAGAAACAAACTCTATGATGTTTATACAAAAGTCACATTTTCTCTACAACAAGTGAATGAAAAAGCATGAATTCTCATGGAGAAAAAAGAGAAGTAAAATAAAAAGACACACAAAGGTAGACTGTTTTAGGAATATATTCTCATATGAGTTGTACTTGGATATATATATCCATGCCCATATCAGTTTATATTATATACCTGCATGTGCGGCGGCATAGCTCATGGTATTACACACACGATAGGTACTATACACGCATGTGCTTTGGTGCATGTGTGTGTATGTACATATTGCAAATACCGTTAAGTTATTACATACGTCGCGTACGCGCGAGCATGAATATAACTGCGCGTCCTTCTGCGTACAGCATTTAACAGAGATAGTGAGAGAGAAAGAGAGAGAGAGAGAGAGAGAGAGAGAGAGAGAGAGAGAGAGAGAGAGAGAGAGAGAGAGAATGAGAGTCCTTATAGACGTGCGCGTAATAGTATATAGGTATGCAGTCGTCGAAAGAGCCTAAGCAAGGCGGCAGTATAATGTACGAGGAGAGGAAAAAGATGCACTTACACGCGAAGAAGCAAAAGGCCGCGCAGACAAAACAGACACACGCAAAGGAGCTGGATATATAAGAAGTCGAGCTCGCTACGAGACGTTACACAGGATAGGTGTATTTCGCCTCGTAAAAGAGATAGCGCGAAAAAGGAAGGCAAGCATCTAATGCCTCTATCTCTTTTACTCCTTCAGTCTCATAGTCGACTGGCTTACGCATTGCATAAAATTCTGCGCTATTTCGCGAGTATTATTGAAGAAAAAAAAATGCTCGAACCGGAGGTAAAGAGAAGACGAGCGATCGCGAGTTTTTTGTTTCTATGAAATACCACGAGTACGCGAATGAATTAGAGAAAGTGTGTAGCTGGCTTGTGTGCGTACACAATACAGAAGAGACATTGGGGAGATACGCGTCAGTTGTATTAGTATATTATGATATATACCTAAACGTCGTTGACGCATACATCCAACGAAGCGTCCTCTTGCAAACGCCGATGTAGTAGTAGTATTGGTATAATAAGATGCTGCTGGCACGCTGCGTTCGTGATCTCGTTGTTGCATTCGCTCGATGATCCTTAGGAGTCGTCGTCGCATCGTGCACAGCACAGTTGATAAATTCGCATGAAAAATATTATGCCGTAAACGCGACGTGAAAAACTACACTTTGAGACAAGCACTGGACATTTTCTCCAGTTTTATGTATCTATTTCCGATCATAGCGTACGAAACGCGAACAAACAACAACAGAAACAGTAGCAGCAGCAGCAGCAGCAGCAGCAACGACACACCAAGACTCAAGAGAGAGAGATACTATTCGAAGTATGAAAATTGCACAACGATTCGCGCACGCACAGACTGGCTATATACGTTGAGAGAAAGCACACGCGCTCGCTCGAGATTATAACTCACGCATATACACTGCACACATAGACGTGTACCTCGTTGCTGTATAAGAAAATGCAGAGCGGCACAATACACAGGCTCGCAACAACCACTGCAGGGTTTATTTTCGTTGTGCTCTCGTGGCAGGGGCTGCTTCTCGTATAAGCTGCACGATCACAGCAGCAGTACAGCAGAGGGGCAAGTTTGTATTCGTCGTCGTTGGTCGTTGTCTTTGGAGATGGCAACAATGAGTTGGCAGAGTCGAGGTTCGCGAGCATCAACGACACATCGTCGTCGCTCCAATACAGATCATGTTGTTGGATTGAAGCGCGTGCAGCTCTCGGGGGCACTGCAGCAGCAGAAATCCGAATGCGCCGTGGCGTACAGTAGAAATGACAAGGAACGACGCGCGCCGCCAACGTTACACTAACCACTAATTCTTATGGAATATGCATGTATGGCTCGCTGACACCACGCCAAGTACAAGTACTGCTAGTCGTAGTATGTAGCCAGTGTAGCAGCGACTGTACAGTACGCGAACGCGACTATATGTATAGGTACACGCACACAGTACACTCGCACATCTATATATATTTTATACATATATATAGATATATGTTATTATGCGCGATATTGCCGAGTCTGCTTCGCGGACGTAGGAGAGAGAGAGACTGTGGAACGACGGATGGAGCTGCTGAAAACTGGCTATCTCTCTCTGTACGTTTTAGCAGCAGTGACTGCTCCGCTGCGTAAAGGGAGAACCCGGGGGGGGCTCGCGTGCAGTCGCTAGTCGCTGTTTTAGTTTGCTCGACCCACACACATAGCAGACACACACGCACGCACAGCCGTATGTATGGAGCGCAGCTGAATATTCCAAATCTACGCGATTCATGCGTATATGTAAGTATATATCGGGTGCAGCAGCGTCAAGCACGAATTGCGGGGGGCCGATTTACGTCGCTGCACACTGTCGTGTACTACATGCATGTACTGTCGGCACTCGACGACCTATGTACGTATATACATGTTCAACATCGGCGCATGCATGGGGCATGTGTACGAAAATGCCAGGCGCTCGCGCTACGCACTGTATTTTCATCGTCCAAGTCTCTGTGCGTGTGTGTTTATACGTCAGTCGCGTCTCTCTACTCTGTACAATATATAAACAGCTCGACTAAGCTCAACTATAACTATAAAAAGTTAGCAGACCAAATTTCAAAATAATTACGAGCTTTTGCAGGCTCGTAGAGAATCGTTAGCTCGTCTTGAACTAATGTGTAAAAAGATTATTTTCCACCTATCTGTTTCGATACAAGCCTTAAAATGTGCTTGCTACTGAATATTTCATTTGTTTGCTTTTTCATGCGTCCCTTTCTCTAAATCGAAAATTAATTACAAAAAATAATGAAATGAATATTTTTCCCGTATATGGCCATTATGTAATAATTTTTGAATTTCGATGATAAGTTTTACTCGGAAGCTTGATTAACTTTACCCTGAATCCAATTCATGCGCCGCGTGAAAAGTGTTCGATGCGAGACAGATTTAAGATTTAGTATGATTTTTATTGGCATTAGTGTTTAACTACATTGCCATAACACAAAGTTTTATATTTTGACAATAGGTGGCATTAAATGTAGTACATATACAAAAGTGATACAAAATTTAAATCTTACATTTGGCTTAAAAGTTAAACTTAAAAATTAGAAAGAAGATTGTAGTTGAAATTAAAGTTAAAAGTAAAACTCATTAACAATTTTTATGCTTTCTTAATTATTCTAGCTTATTACCAAATCTTATTACTAAATCTTAATATTAATGGAATTTATGAATTCCGCGATAGGAACTATCGTTTCAGCTTGGTTTTTAGATATGAGAGAAACGGTGGAATACGGCTCGTAATAATTATTATTTTTTAACTTATTAATCATTTTTAATCTATCTTTGTGGAATCTTTGGCATTGCCATAGTATGTGATCCACCGTTTCCTCAGATTGGCCATCACAGTCACAGCATTTTGAGTTAATAATTTTGAGTCTTTCTAAACTACTCTTAGATGAGTTATGATTTGATCTGATTCGATTAATTGATACAATTGCTTTTCTATAAATAAGGTGACTAAATTTAGTGAACCAAGGATTGGGTTCTTGTTTATAATAGTTGTCAAAGTAGTAAGATCCCTTGACTTGTGCCTCTTTGACAATAGACTCATTTTCTTTTTGTATGCATTTACTTTTGAGGTCAGAAAAAATATCTGAGAAAGGTATTTCTACCTGGTTTAGTGGTCCTGACTGAGCCGCAAGCTTTGCAGCAGAGTCAGCTTTTTCATTCCCTTTGATACCCACATGAGAGGGTACCCAGATGAATTCTATTTTTTTATTTAACAAAATTGATTTGAAGATTTTATCTTTTATGTTCATGATTAACAAAGATTTGGTATTGTAGCTTGACGAAACTGAAAGTGATTTCAGAATTGATTCTGAGTCAGTAAATATTCTAAAATTTTTTTCATCACAATTATTAATTTTATCTAGAACAAATAGAATAGCTAACGACTCTGCTGTGAAGATCGTAGCAAGATCATGGATTCTATAGGCTAATTGGAAATTTTCATTTATTGACCATGCTGCGAAGCCGGTGCAACAGTAATTATTGTTTTCATTCTTTTTATTTAAAGTTAACTTAGAGCCATCAGTATAGATATCCACGTATTCCGTGTTGCTATTGTTATTAAATTTTTGTGTGAAAGTGGAATTGGGATCTTTTGACTCTCTGATTTCCTTGCCAGACGCCAGGTCAACTAGTGGATTGACGAATGCCGAGTAGAAGGGACTGCAATATTGAAAATGTCTGTCAAACTGAGAGATGGAGAGATTATAAAACCAGACCTCGTCGTAGCACTCTGCCAGCAATGATTTTTTATGATTGTTTGTGTATATAGATGTTTCGCTAATTTCTTTTAAAGATTCTAGTTGCTCTATTATCTGATTGTTAAATATAGATAGTTGTTTTAGTATGTAATTGTATCCGAGGATTCGAAATCTGTTTAAAAGATGTGGTATCTTGGATTCAGCCCTTATTACATTGAGAGGGGTGCTATTGCGATAGCCCATTACTATGCGTAAGCATGCGTCTTGGACCTTCTGTAATTTATTTAAATTAGTCTGTGAGCACGGGTGAATGAGATGACCGCAGTATTCAAGACGAGAACGAACCAAGGACTTATAAAGCATTAATAGGAGTTGGGGGTGAGCACCCCACCAGGTAGCACGAAGACAGCTGAGAACACACATNTAATATGCTATAATGTTTGTAGGCTCTGGGTAAGTATCTATAGTGATGGCAGCTATTTCTATTTGTTCTAGGTCGTTCAATCCTAATTCAAGAGTGTCGTACATAATGTTGGATTTGATTAAAAACAAAATACCTCCTTTACTATTACAAGCTCTGTCAAATCTGACAGCGTTAAAACCTTGTAAAGTGTAGTGATTATGTTCATTTAAAAATGATTCAAAAATAATTATTACATCATAATTTATAAATAATTTAATAGCTTCAGTCTTACTTTTAATTCCTCTGGCATTCCATTGAAGAATTTTAAGGCCAGAGTTAACCATATTACAATGACTAAATAAATAAATAAATTGATTCTTTGGTTTTTGCTTTCTTTTTATAGACTCAAATAAGTGATTCAAGTACATTAATTATTAAAAGTAAGACTAAAGCTGTGTTTAAGTTGGAGGGTTGCAAAAATCAAAAAGTGGGTCACGTGTAGAACCGTTGATATTGTTTAATTGTTCTTGATGAAGACGGTTGTAAAGTTTCTTGGTCGTTGAGGCCAAGTTGGTGTTGAAATTTCCATCTTGACCCTCAGGATTGTTAGTTGTCAGTGTGCTTTTTCCTGTACGATTCTTGTTGCTGTTGCTGTTTCCGTTGTTGTTGTTGTTGCTATTATTGTTGCTGGTCGTTGGATGTGACAGGATGGCCTGTTTTCCAGAAGGAGACTGATTTGAAACTTGATTATTGGAGGATCTGATTTTTGTGGTGGTTTTATTCTCCAAACTATTGATTTTATTAAAGTCAGAATAATTTGATTCTTTATTTAATGGTGGGTACTGTTCAGCTGATTTGCCTGTGAGACTTCTGGTCGGTGGTGCAGATTTGTTTGGGAACACTGCATCTTTAGCTTCAGCAAATGTTACGTTATCATAAGCCATGATGTTGTTGATTTTTTTGTGGGCTATAAAGATTGGGCAAGATGAGTCTATGCTCTTGTGGTTAGTATCACTTAAGCCTTCTTGGCTGCAGTTAGCACAACGAGGAGCAGTATGTGCACAAGCACCTTCATGTTTGAGATCACCGCAATTGAAACACCTAGATTTTCCTCTGCACGTTTTAGCTGTATGCCTGTATTTGAGACAGTTATAGCACTGCATGACTTTTTGTACGTACGGTTCGACTTTGACTCTTACTCCAAAAATATATACATGTTCTGGGAGCTTTTGACCTTCTATGGTACATACTATTGATTTGGTTGGAATCCATTTGGAATCATTTACATCCTGAGTAGAGTGTTGTTTGTTCTTTCTGCTCATTCTACGTACCTCCATCACTTTCATTGGTCCTGAGCAGGTTATACCATCCAATATGTCTTCATCAGAGAATTCCAAATCAATACCTTTTATGACTCCTTTTCTGGTTCTTCTGAACCCAGGAACATAAGTTTCAAGGTCGTGTTTTTTAAAAGAGGTGTCATTAGCAAGAGTGTTAGCTTGAGTCCTAGAGGTGACAATGATCTCTACTTTGGATCTGCTTCTTCTACATATATTTTTAATGCTGTCATATTTTCTATAGACTAGACTGCCTATTTTGAATTGACTCACTTCCTTATTTGATACTGTACTCCTTACCCACACACTGTAAGGTCCAGGTATATTTTCTCTATAGTATACAATAGGCACTAAAGGGGTATTATTATTGCTATTGGAGTTGGTCATTTCATTTTTTCCTGTGTTGTAAGGCGTTTCTTCTGTAGAGTGTTGTTGTTGAATCTGTTGCTGCTGCTGTTGTCCTGCGTTGAATTTTTTCAATTGACTTTCAGAGTCATAGTTATCTGGGGCTCTTCTTTTGTTAAAATCTTTGTCATTGTTGCCTTTCCTATGTGTAGTATCAGAGGGTTCAAATTCCATTAAATCACCGGGTCCATTACTCCGATTATTTATCAAATCTCCGCCACTGCCAGACGCAGCCATAGCCATGGCCCGTCGCAGACTCCAACCTCAATGAGGTTATGTTCTGTATATAGTATAAATGTAACTCGCTTTGCACTAAAATATCGAGTCTAAATAATTTTTCCAGTAATATAAACAATCAGTCGTTCGTTGGAGCGAATTTTAATGTTGTTGACTCGGTCTCATTAAAGAAAAGATAGTCTTAATCACTTTATTCGAGAACTCGGTCCTTTTCCTCACGAGACAGAAACGAAAGGGTGCCTTTAGAGACATCTGTCGACGCTCGAAGAAAATTTCACTGCGAGCAGCATTGATATTATACGTACGCCAAAGACAGGCAGCACATGTAACTGCGAGCTTAGGGTATTGTAACGACGGACAATAACTAAGCCTTTCTCGCGCCTTCATCTGGCGATAATAGAACGAGTCGCGCGTGCTCCATTTGAGTTAGCGTGTAAACCATTTAAGATAGGAAACATCGTCCATTTTTGAGAGATTACTATCGATAAATTCGTTCTCATGTTTGCGACTTATTTGCGCTTAGTTCCTAACTCTCGCGACGCAATACGGTATCGTATTGATTTTAATTTCTCAGATAAACTTTAAACTCTTAAAAGGACACGGCGCAGAGGCTCCGGCGAATCAATAATACAAACAACTAACTAAACGCGACGCGGCATTTAAGTCGTATCGAGCGTACGTTGCAGATACACCGCTCGACCGCCTATCTAATGCAACTTATTTTGCGCACTTGATTTCTTTCACCACTTTTATTGTTTTGCAATATTATTATCGTTTCGATGCATTACCAGAACTGAAAATCCATACTTGATCCGTATATCAGTTTTCTTTAAATTTAGAAAAATAATTTTTCTAGTTGTTGCATGTGGTCGGTCTCCGATTAATGCTTACCGCATAATCGAACTAATTGAGCAGATTACCAAGAAAATAATCAATACGGTCAATAGCTTAAAATCGATTTTTTTCTCCTTGAAATTTTAACGGTACACAGATCAAATTACTAGGTTTTGAGTCTATATACAACTTGCAGCTGAGGATTTGTTTACAGTTACGAACGCGCGTCGAGCATTCTTTCCTCCCAAGACATCGATTGAACATGCCTTAAAGGATGAAAATTTGAAAGCGAATCGTCGTCGGTTGATGAGGTGTTAATCGTGTCCATTTCCTCGAGCTTTATCGTTGTATTTTATTATTATGTAATTCTAATTTCACAACTATCAACAGATTCAATTGTGCGTTAAAGCTAATTACTTGCGACTTAACTACGACTCATTGTTTATCATGCGCATTGTTCAATGATCCAATCAGTGAGTTCGGATAGAATCGATGTCTAGACGTTTTCATATATTTATGTAAAAGCCTGTAGCATTCAAAATTTCTTGATGAAAATTCAAATCTACGAGAGCGTGAATAAACACCCAATGGAGTTATTCAATTTTTGATTGATCCATCATTCAACGTATAGGAATATATAAACAGATACTTGACGGATTGTCGCCTACATTCTTTATACGTTCTAGCATATGTGCTACATGGCAGATTCGAATTCGTGGTAAGTATATCTAGCTGCCTCGCATGGCTGTGCAAAAAATTCGTTGCGAAAGTAAAACAGGTTTTGCGATGTACAACTAAGCGAGCAGGTGCGAATCAGTCAGATAAGTTGCCGGCAGGTTTTACAGCTGCTCCATTGGTAATGTACTAAACTGAAATATTTTCTTCGCGCTATTAGAAAATGCACAACCTTGAAAATCTTCGAAATACACTTGGCAAGAAGAAAACCGAACTTTGGGCAAAGTCTGACACTGTGTTATGAGATTTTGAAGGCAAGAGTGCATCTATGCAGACGAAGATGGAGTGTATTGTCTTAGTTTTTAATTTCATTTTTATATATTTGAATATGAGTGTCATAGATAACGGTTTAAGTTGGATAAGTTTCTGCATTTAAATTTTCTCTCTTCATTCAGTAGACTACACGAGGAATAATGAATATTTCCAATGTAACTTGTATCGAAATAGACGTGATGAAATTTCGAACTTTTTAGATTAAACGTATGCGTGCATCATCAAAGAATTTTTAACCAGCGTATTCATTTCCAACCATTTTATGTTTTTATTAATTCGAAAAATGAACGTTCTCCCGCCTGAAATGTCGAACTAGAAAAATATAGCATTATGAACGCAGCTTCATCGGTAATAAAATGTGACGTCGGAATCGGATCACGAGTGCAGTGCTGCTGCGTCGAGAAGCGCAGGGTAAATTTCTCCTCTATCTTCTTCTGAGCTTTCTCGCGCAGGCGGCGGCGTCGGCTGCCACGCACGTACGTAGGTGTAGCTGTATACTGCAATATAGACTATAGAGTAGCAGCGGTAGCGACTTGCGCGCACGCTATCGGATCGAGCCATAGAGGGGGCAAAGTATGAGTCGGCCATGTTGCGCTTTCCGCTTCAGTCAGTGCACGCGTTTGTGAGAGAACTGCTATAATACCTCTCGATATTACCTTCTCATCCGCCAAAGGAACAACACTACGAGTCATTACAGCTGCTCTCCGAGTGCTTTTAAAGAACCCCATTTTAGTTTTGCAGCCGACGAACGCAAGCAGTATTTCTAACGCTCGTTCGATCAAATGTAGTAAAATATAATACAACTATTCCTCGTAGCCAAGCTCGACTCCCAAAAATTGTTAAGTGAATTTTTTCGTTCTGCTCGTGCGCGCGTGCGTGTGTTTACGCGTCAAGCCGTATCATGGATGACTGAAATCTTCCTTATTTACCCAAAGTGACAAGCAGTGCTATCGTTCGTCGACTCCTCGCGAATATATTTCGCTGAAAACCAGAGCAAAATGTGCTAGTGCACCCTGATCAGAGATTCGTCCATGACAAATCATGTTTGATCAGATGTCATCTTGTAATACACCAGGTCCACCAAAGTCATCTCTATTTAAGCCACTTGAAGACAACTTCTCAGAGGATCAAGTTAATTGCTGGCCAGTCACAGAACTCAGAGAACAAGGGCTCGATAGAACTTTTCAACAAAATTCTACCATTGATCCACCTATTTGTTGTATAAATCCACATAATAACATGTTGGCTCACGAGTGTAGCTCAACATATAACTATCCTAGTAGTGCTTCCAGGTCGTCCCCGAGTAAAATGTACGCTTCCAATAAAGAGATTTGTTTTAGAGATACAATCAATTCCTCAAAAAAGGTGTTATCCTCTTGTACCGACTCACAGTTGAGTATAGATTCTACATTAGTCACAGACATGAGTAGAAAGAATTTTAGTAATAATGATATTGATGAAGTCGATAGTTCAGTTTATCATGATTGTAGAATAAAACCAATAGAAAATAAGCAAAAGTCAGAGGTTGGAATATCTGTAGATTTTACTACCTCAACACCGTCCAAAAATTCAGTGAAATATGATAAAGAAAATTTACCTACTGAACTCCAATCATCTCCAACAAGTTACAAAGATCGTGAAAAGTGTCAAGACCCTTGGAGACCTACAGAATTAAGTGATGGAACATTCCCTGGGTGCGATTACAGTGTAGAAAACACACTTGATAAAAGAAGGACTGGTGCTTCGTGCCAAGCATTAAGACATGCAGTCGCTTCATTGCATAGATTAGATGATTTTAACGCTGAAAAAATTGGTGCTGGTTTCTTTTCTGAAGTTTTCAAGGTATTTATGCTCAGTATTAGTAAAATGACTGAAATTAGTTATTATTTTGACCAGTCATTTGCAAAGTTTATATTTGAATACATTTAAAAAACTGAAATTATATTTTTGAGAGTAACATTCAAATCTGTTAAACTTTCAAAAAAAGATCTGAAATTTTTGACAAAACTGCAGTCTTTTTTGACATGTAGTATAATTTCTGTTTTTATAAAACTATATAAAATTATATTTGCTTATTTTGCATCTACACAGCATATTTATTGCCTGAATCAACAATTAAAAAAATTGTGATGCATATATTTCTATCTGGATCAACAATAATAACAAATTTTTGATAAAATTGATGATCTTTTTGAAATAGCTCAAAATATTTTTCAATATGTAAAATAAATTGTCATTGACGTTCATGAATGAACCAACCACAAATTAATGAAAAAGTGCAAGACAAATAGAAGGTGTCTAGTAAAGAGAGAGAGAGAGAGAGAGAGAGAGAGAGAGAGAGAGAGAAAAAAATCTTTATTACTAATAATTAACATTATTTTCGAACAAATATCATTTTTACAGTGACACTGAAAAAATTTTTAAAAATGTTTAAATAATAGCATAAAATGGCGAATTAAAATGGTTTTGCGTCAATTTTATTATTTTTTATTAAACTAAAAATGTTGCGATGAAAATGTATGATGTATTCTTGTCACAATGCACATGCATCAAAGGAAGTACTAACCAAAAGCAAGGCAGGAAGGGTGACATTACAGTGCAAGGTGTATTATTGCACACTTGATGATTCATATACAACGAACGATCGTAGTATCTTTTATTTGATTGTTCAGTTTTTTTTTCATTGGTGTGTCCGCACAAGCAAATGCTTGACTGAATATCAATGGGATGATGGCGATTATTATGTATATGAATGTCTTATGGCGTTGGCCTTTGCAATTACGTGATAGTAATTTTACCTTTTCTCGATTAATTCGGAAAAACTTTTTTTATTTTTTAGCTAAGTAATATTCCTCACCCGTCGTGGGCTCGTTAAAATGAAACGTTGCATCATTTTTATTTTTACTCTCTCGAGTGAATTCATGTTACACATATTCAACTTGCCGACTGCTGCATGTTTATATATATACTGCACTCTGATACACGCGACAGCAACTTTTGTGCATGGGCATACGTCTCGTCGCGCGGTGTGCATAGATGCAGTACGGAAGCTCTTTTACAATTTCCTGAATGAATCACTTTTGTCTTTTTCTTTTTCATAGTTTCTTCTTTTTTCGAGGGAATGCTTATGCTTGCATGCATACGGTAAACATTTAATTGTCGAAATATTACGTTTAAATTCTTTCGGGGCAATGATAGTTGACTGGTACGTGCCAAGGCTTGCACATTTTGCAGTGTGATTTCTTCTCGCGTCGAAAAGGCACTTTCATCTTGATTTATATAGGGATGGATTCAGGATTCAAACTGGTTTCGTGCTAAGATCGTATAAATCAGTCGCGCATTTTTACACTTTCGTTATGATACAAATAAAAATAAGCCGTGTAAGTAAGCTCGAACGAAAAACTTACGTACACACGTATGTCTGGAATGCGAAACTCGAGTACACTTGTCGGTGTTTATATTATAGATGATCGCAAAGATTCTTTTTTTTTTAACGATAAGTTCTATGAGCAGCTGATTAATCACTAACAAAGATTAGATAATTGTAAACATCAGTAATGATAAAGCTGCATATAGAGAGATGATGCAGGCTTTTTTCCAGATGAACATTTCTTCTCTCTTTCTATCTCTGTTGATCTGTCATATTGAACAGGTATCTCTTTATCGAAATATCAATTAAAATATGCAGTCGGAACACGGCACAACGTAATTAGATCCTCAAAGTTGGAATATTTTTGCAAACTACCTTAATGTTCCGGCGTATTACGCGAATATTTCACTCTCCTCGAGTATAATCTTTCATTCCAATCTCATCAGCAATGGCATCGCCAGCTGACACACACACACACATGCACATATCCTTTGCACGTTTACAGCTAGTTAAATGTCGCAAGACGAGAGATTGCATTGTATATCCGCAGTTACATAAAAATGAGGCTGACATGCGGGGGCAGATATAAGGCATCTCTTTCTATCACTTGCAAATCTTGTATGCATACATATGCACTTTGTCGAAGTTTTGTACTCATTAAGTACTTTTAAAGACTCAACTACGAATTACAAATGATTCTACTGTCCCTCTCTCTCTCTCTCTCTCTCTCTCTCTCTCTCTCTCTCTCTCTCTCTCTTTCTCTCTCTACCTTGTTTATCTATATGTTTTTTGTACATACTTTACTCTTGTCTATTTATATTTAACGCTTATACCTTTAGGTATAAGCCTGTGTGTCAAACAGGAAACCATGGCCTAATAAATATTCTGATTCTAATCTATTCTCTCTCTCCCTTACAATTGGCAACTTTGCTGTGTTTTCGTGCAAAAAAAATCACGCGACTCATTGCGTCGAACTTGAAATTCAACAAAAATATGCGATTGAAATAAGAAATGAGTTTGTTGTGAGCGCCTGTGCATATAGCGAATTCGCTCCGAAGATGTCATTTCCGTATTTTACGAAAAGTAGACGAATCACGAAAAAAGAGCACGCGCATGTCAACATCTTCGGATAATAAGCTGCAAAACGAATACGTGACTTTTTTTAACGCTTAACTCTACAACAGGCTGCATTGGCGCCGTATGATTTCAAAATTCCTCCTCGTTGAGCCCGATTAAGTTTCAAAACGTATTATTGGAAAAAAAAGTTTTGAAACGAATACATTATACGTTGGTGAAAAAAAGCACCCAAGAGGAGTTAAGTTCTTTAAACGCATTTGAATGCATATTTTCGGAGTATCTTCTTTGTCGTGACATGTTAAAATATTCAACAAGTAAAATTTTATTTTTTATTCTACACTATCATTACAATATTCGTCAAAAAATAATTTCCAAGTTGTTGCAAATTAGATTTTAAAAAAGTTTCAAAATTCTTTACGAATTCGTCTTGCAATTATCTTCAGTGGGTTATAAAATTTCGGTTACGAGTCATATCAACAAATGCGTGACAGAAATAAAATCGGTGTAGGGTTATAAAAATATATAGGTATGTATCTGCAAACAAGAGAGATTTTTGCTCTTTTTGAACATTGCGAGCGTGTGTCAGCGAAGTCACCGACTGCGAAAAAATTGCATTCCTCTCGACGCCACCGCTCGACGGACACTTGCATTTTTTCATGTATATATAGAGAGGATATGGTTTCAATTCTCGTTTCAAAATTAGCTTTTCATATTTTCCAAAGATTCTCGATTAAACATCCGTGACACAAGCGGAGGAATTGCATCTCTGAATAGTTATGCATTTCTCTCTCTCCCTCAATCTCGCACACGGGAGAGAGATGTCGAGTTTCAGCAGTGTAACGTAATACACACACACACACCCACACGACACGCACACGTACGACTTACGAGTGAACGCGCCGCTCGCCGGCTCCGTCGCGTCATCCGCGCTACGTGCACGTCTGTGTGTGTTACTATATGTGTGAAAATTCACCGTCCAACGCGAGAGACGCGTGCTACGTCTGCTCGACGATGTTCGGGCGATTTTGTTGGTTTGAAAATAGGTCGGGCAGGAAGTTTGGTTGTGCGTGTCCGAAGCTTCCTCGTGCTCTTTTGCAGCATACACCTTTCTCCCCTCCTCCATTAGCGAGTACTACTTCTAATGTCATTAAAACCCCGCTCTTAATTATGTTTATTTGAATAATATTTTTGAAAGTCTTGGACTCTTACTTTCCCCACTCGTTAATTCACTGATTGACGTTTTATATGGGGCTGAAAATGCGTTTTATATGCGTCCGCACGAACTCTTAAAGGTTCCCATGTGAGATTCTAATCGTCGACGGGACGCATGGACAAATAAACAACGTCGCCGTTGCAACAAGTATGGAAGTGAATGAAAAATGTTATAATCGATTGCTCTCGGCTAAACATAGAATCATCTAATCGCGGAAAGTTTTTTTGAGGCTGCACACGTCTACGTGAGGAAATGCTCGTGCTCCGCAGAGTAACCGCGAGAACAAACAGGCAAAACGATCGATGTGGGTCGAGGCCCTTTTTCCAAGCGTTTGCATTTGTGCAAAACATTACTTACATCTGTGAGCTGTGCTGCGCAGTATGTGCGCGACTCCATTAAGCGTGGATGTTTGGCCAGGGTTTTTTGTGCTCGTTTAGTTTTTCCTTCAGAGACGATAAAGAAATAAAGGTTGATACGCATAATGAATATACTTGGTGCGTATCTTTTTTACACACAAACGCATACACACAAATTGAATATAGTTTATGTAATGAACTCAAGGTGCGCGCTTCGAGATAATGAACGTATATGTAGATGTCTAATACTTTGCCACATTTTTTTTTTTCAAGTAAACAAACTTGAACGAAAAATATTTACTGAAAACAAAATAAAGTATTGTGCTCAGTGAAGCTTTACACAATTAAGCTTTAAATTTTGACAGTACGCGTTGTAAACTCGGTATAGTCGTTTATTAGCTGAGTAATTTTTCTAAAACATTCAATCGAACTTACAAGTTTTTTTTGCTCAAAATATATTTCGTATTGAAATAACGCAGCTCTTATCTGTGAAGTTAATGAAGAATATCGCTGATGTATTTTTAGAATTCATTATATTTTTTTTGAAGCCTTTTTTGCGATTTTTTTATAAAAGTTAACGCAAGAATGCGAGCCATGCAAAAATCGATATTTTGATTTAAAAAATCGTACAGTCTATTTTTCTTTTCACCTGTAAGTTTTGTAAGATATGAAATGAATAACTACAAACTTAGCCATCGAGATTAGCTGAACGTCTTCAAATAGCTCCTCTCACTCAATTTGAGAATGAAAATGAAAAATGCAACTACGCAAGCAATGTGACTGCCAAAATGTCACGAAATTACTCTACGTCGACATAATAGTCAAT